AAACACTCTTTGTTTTTAAGAGATTCCGTTCATTCAGTCTTGGCCTGGAGGAGAAGTCTGTGTCACTGGAACCCGGCACTGTTTTAAATCTGCTCTGCGTCGAACGCAAAACGGAGGCGTGAACGGGACTGCTCCTGGCCTGAGGCATTTCTCTGTCCCCAAACCCCTTTTTCACACAGAAGACTCAGAACTTTTCTTCAATCTGTATCTAACATCCAGACAGAAGAAGAAGACTTCTGGAGACCTTGACCGCCAGTACACTGTTATGTGTACTGTGCAGATTGTGTTCTTGGTTTTTTCTTCTGGAGTGTAATTAGCTTCTTGGCCTTACTGAGAACTCCTCTTGTAGGCAGATCTGCTCAGTTTCCCAAGCCTAAGCTGGAGAAATATCGTAGACCTGCCGATTTCCATAGTCTTACTTCACCAAATAAGGAAGGAATTAATGGGAAGGGAGCAGAGATGGCACATATTTTTTTTATTTGGGACGTATACCTCTCTTGGAATGTTGCTGGGACGTCATCGAATTCCAAACGGCTCACTGAGGAGCCCCCGAACTGGAAGGAACCTTTGATGGTTCTGGGGTGTTTGGGTAGCTGGCAAGTCTCGTCCTTCAGCACAGCCGTGCCCACCACCTGTGAGGAAAACAGCTCAGAAATCTCTCTGTCTCGAATGAAACAAAGTCTATACAAGATTCCAGACGCTGAGAGAACAAACAGCTTGGCTGTGGGACATTCTGACGGCTAGATCTTAAAACGGGAACAAAACCGGGGATTTGGAGCATGAACCAAAATAAGAGCCACCAGCCTCTTCCACCAAGTAGGTCGTGCAAGTCTGCAAAGGCCTCCCTTCACACGGGAGGTGCTGGTGTTATGGACCTGAACCCCTGAAGCTCCCTTACACTGAATCAGGCCCTTGGTCCATCGAAGTCAGTATTGCCTACTCAGGCTGGCAGAGGCTCTCTAGGGACTCCGGTGGAGGTCTTTCACATCACCTACTGCCTGGTCCTTTTGTGACTGGAGATGGCAGGGATTGAACCTGGGGCCTTCTGCATGTCAAATAGATGCTTTCTCACTGAACCACCATCCCTCCCAAATCATGGCCTGGATGTTGCTCCTTTCTGTTCCAGAGATTCCCTGAGGATCTTCTGGGGGGAAAGAGCCAATACCACTTCCGTATCCGGTGCCAGACCAACCACTCGGGGTTGTCAAAGGGCTCCTGTGCTTAAGTGTAGCAGACAGAAAGGCTCTCTTTGCCCCATTCACACACCTCAAGTTGCCCTACGCACCTCTGTAAACAGCAAAATGGCACCCAGAAGTTAATACTATCAACCATCTCTACAAACCAACACACAACAAAAGCCGCATATTTTCATTCTGACTTGAGGGCTACAAAAAACGGCACTCGGAGGACTTCTCCTTGAGAGAGCTGCATTACCGCAGGAGGCCCCGTGTGGCCTGTCCTCACAATCACAGGAAGAGTGATTCTCCTTCCTGTGTTGCCAAGCCCTACTACTAGAAGGTGATGATATGCCACTGCTGGGGCAGGGCGTCGGCACAGAGAATGGCGGACGTCTAATCCACTCGCTCTGATCCCGATCTCTCCTTACCTCAGCCAAAGCGCATTAAAAAAACCAACGCACACCCTATGGGACATGCGAAAAGGTGGACGAACAAAAAAGGCACATAAAGGTACTGCTAAAACCTTCATAAAGTCCATAAACCTATCTGAGCAATCGAGACAAAAAAGCACCAGAGGAAAAAAAAACGCAGCTACAAAATGGCGGACGAGCCTGTTACCATAAAGACTTTGCAAGCAGCTTTAACATCGGCTCTACACAAAACGGAACAGACTATCCTGGAGAATAGGCTGCTGCTGCAACCCACATGGCCCAGAATCAGCAGGAGGGAGAGGGTGGGTGTGCCAAGAGGGGCCACAGCCGCTACGTGGCCTCACATCTTGACTCAAGGGGGGAGACGAACGGCACGGCCAACGTGCCAGGGCTACAAAACGCAGGCCCTCGCCCAGAGAGCCCCTCGCTAGCTCCATCTTTTCAGATCTCAGGCGCTAAGCTGGGTCAGCCCTAGTTAGTGGTCGGATGGGAGGCCACCAAGAAAGTCCAGGGTTGCAGCACAGAGGCAGGCAAAGGCAAACCATCGCTGAACACCTCTTGCCTTGAAAATGCTGTGGTGGTGGTGGTGGTTGGAAGTGCCATCAAGTTGCGGCTGACTTATGGCCACCCTGTAGGGTTTTCAAGGCAAGAGACGTTCAGAGGTGGTTGGCCATTTCCTGCCTCTGCACAGCAACCCTGGACTTCCTTGGAGGTCTCCCATCCAAATACTAACCAGGGATGATCCAGCTTAGCTTCTGAGACCAGACAAGACCAGGCTAGCCTCGGCCATCCAGGTCAGGGTGCTGAAAACCCTACGGGGGGGGGGGGGCCACCATAAGTTGGATGGGACTTGATGGCAAAAAAAAAAGAAAAGAAAGAAATGCAGAGGAAGAGGCCCAGCGGACAAGGAATGGTTACATTTCAGATTTGACTGGCACGAACGTTTCCCCCCGGGGTGTGTGGAAAATGGGAGGGGGGCGGCAGTTCATGGCTGATCAGAACCTTGGGGTGGGCGGGCAGGTGAGTGGAAGGGACTAACCCACCTCTGTGAAGCTCAGGAGATGAAAGGGTGTCGCTGCTTGCACAAAAGGGCCAACTTCTGTGCAAGGAATGGGGAAGAGCTACTCTGCATGCTTCCCAGGGCCCTTCTGCCCAGTGCAGGTGTGATGCTCAGTAGTAACTGCACCTTACTCTTTACAACTTTATTACTGTTAAAAGAAAGATCATAGCCCTCTGTGCTGGTTAATGGGACAAACTGTTAACAGGTGATGTTTGCCAAGGATGAAGCCTTGGTATGTCGGCTGGGAAAGGTCATGTTTATTCAACGGTGAGCTCGTTAGTAGGGAAATAGTGGATAAAATTGGTAGGTAGAAGGCTGGGTTTTTCATCTCTCGGTGATGGAGGATTCGCCTGCAGCTGAACCAGACTATCAGGAGGAGAAACTGATGTGCGGCAGGTGAGATTCAAAGTTTTATTTCCCTCCTGCCTCAGAGACTCTGGCTGGAGGAAGGACCTGTTTCTAAAGGGAAAGTGAGATAGTTTAAGTACCTGGGTTCTTTTCTAAGTGTTCTGTTTCGGGCTCTTGCAAGTGCTGATGTTTGTTCTTTTGGAAAATAAACTGTCTTTCTCTTGAAAGATTGTGGTTAATTGATGTGCATTTGGGATCTGATAAAGAAAGAGCCCACGGCACCTCTAGTGAGTTTCCCTTTCTCCAGGTCGGGAGGAGGGCTATATCACAGGCTGCGCCACAACAGGACAGGCTAGAAAAGGAGCCCGTCTTCCATCATCCCTGTCCCTGTGGATGACCGTTTCTCCATTTCAACCCACAGCTAAACACTCCTGGGGGAGGAGGGGTGCCCGCTTTTGCCAAGGACTGAATGCCCGCCAAGCCAAGGGAAGGTTTTCATCACCTTGGGTTTCCATTTGTCCTTCTTCTCTGACGCCCTCATTTCCTGTGGCTGCCGATCCCGGGGACAGTTCATGGTCACGTTGACGCTCTCCGTGCTCTGCTGAAGGTCCACGACGACCTGTGGGTCCAGTTTCCTATTGCAGAAAGCGAAAAGGAGCTCAACAGCTGTTCATCCAGGACTGCGGCCAAGCAGCAGCTGTTGGGAAGGTGGACGAGGTCTTTCTGGTTACGTTCGCCAGTCCCGGAAGGACAGAGAGTTTCAAAGCATCAAGGGCAATTTGTTCTTTCGACGCCTGGATAGCCACAAAACTCTAGCTATTATTGCACTCACTTGCAGTTGTGTGCTAGACTGAAGTCGATACTTAAAAAAGGAAATTCGGGACCCTGAGCTCCCACCACCACCACCGCTCTCTGACTCCACTAAAGATGACAACTGCCTGCCTTACCTCTGAGGGTCTTCCCAAGATGCACACCCACGGGAGAATGCGGGGAGCGTTCTCGGACATGCACTGTACTCATGCGGAGTGTGATGGAGCGGCCAACAGGTCCAGCATATGGACGAAGTATGTGCCATACACACAGCAGAGATTACAGTTTTCATGTGCACAGTAACTGCACATCCCTTCCACCACTCAACATGAAACACAGAATTCTTCTATCAGTCAACCACGGACTGCAGTTTATATGTTATTTTTCATGGGTTGCATTTATAAATATGTAGCATTATCGAGCCACAAGTTGTACCTCATGGCCATTTATTCAGGTGGAGCCGGAGATCTCCCAGATTTACAAATGATCTCTAGACTACAGAGATCAATTCCCCCACAGAAAACCACTGCTATGGAGGCTGGGAGGAGGGCAGGTGTCAGGCTCTTGCATGAACTCACTCCCAACAACACTCTTTTGGTAAAGATTTGTTTATTGAGATATGTAGCTGTCAAGTAGAAGCCATCTATGTCGGAACTGACTGCCTTTGGCGCCAGCCCTGGTATTATACATTATTCAAACAGTACCCCCCCCCCCCCCCCCCGGGCTACTGTTCCCTTTCTGTGGCTTTGTGATCTGTTGCTGGTTTTTTTAAAAAAAATAATAAATTGCTAATTTATAAACAGAGAACACCTAGCAGAGAGAGAGGCTTCAAGGTCGCTCACGTTCTCCCCATCCGGGAGGCTCTTAAGAAAATCGTTCCGAAGCTAAGCAGAGCAGGATCCCACACGTCCACTCACTCACTGCGCCCCCACCCCAACAGCCCAAATACCGAATGGTTACAAGCGATTAGACAGAAAAGAGAAATCCCATGGCAAACGAGGCTCCGAGTTTGACAGCAGGATCCTACCCCTGTGCTGCTTCTCTGATCTAAACCAGAACTATGAAGTTTGCTCCACTGGGGACACAGCCACAGGTCAATAGGGGACCAGGTCTTTTCTCACCGTGAAGATGACAGTGGCCTTAGAAGGGAAATTTCTATAAAGCAAATAGCTTGGGGGGAAAGGAATAAAGCCCCACCAACCCCCCCCCCCAGAATCGCAGTCCCAGTCCCATTAGAAACCTCCACTGAGAGCAATGCTCCCTCTAAGCTGTGGAGTCTTGTGAGCAAAAATTCTACTTTATGAGCTCCTGGCATTAAAGTTGTGAGCGAGCGATTGGGCTACTGCATAAATGAGTTTGCTCTGGAGCCCTCCTTCCTGAGCTGAGACAAAAATCTGTGAGCTGGAGCTTAGAGGGAACACCGACTGGGAAATCCTGCCATGGAACTCCCCCATCACACTTGAGTTGGCCCTGCTGAGAGAAGCCGGGAAGGGGAGAAAACCCCAAACTACCTGGGGAGAAGAGGGAGGTGGGCCTTTGAGACAACGGGAGGAGCACAAGGCCTGCCCGCACTCACCGTCTGACAAAGACGTTCCCGATGCAGCCAGAGAGGTTGCCCATTTCGCTGAGCTGAGGCATTCCGCCCAGGTGGAACGGCACCCGCTCCTCCGGCGGCTTCTGCCTTCGGTGGCGATCGGCCCCTGGCTTGGTCCCTTGGAGCTGGTCGTCAATGTAAACCCGGACCCTGAAAGGGAAATGCGTTTTGTACCAAAGGGGGGCCCACCGGCTCATCTGGGCCTGGGGGGGAAAGGGGATGTGAGGGACTGACAAGCGAGACAAGGAATGGCTCCGGTAAGTACCCTGCGGAGTCGCTGTAGATGGCAACATAGTGGCTCGTGTCGTCTGCATACGCGTCCTTTGTGGTCAGTTCTGTCGCCAGGACGTTCACGGCCACCCTGCCGTTCTTCAAGGACACCTGGCAGACCCCTTCCTAAGGAGGAAGAGAGAAAACAGACCCTCAGATCTTGGACAGCAACTTGCCCCCGAGGTTACTGAAGATAAAAATGAGGCCATTCATCAGGAAGGCTTCAGGTAGGAGAGACGGAGCTGCCCTCTTCCCAATGAGGATAAATACACAAAGTCAGAGGAATTGTCACAGGAAGCCAGGCTTAAGGAGCCGCAATGGCACACAAACAGAGACCATAACGCTTTGTATTCAGAAGGCACCAGCATCAGTCTCTGGAACCTCCCATTCAAGGATCTCAAACAGAGGGAGCTGGGAAAGACCCTTCTCTGCTGGACAGCAGCCACCAGTCAGAGCTAGAGGCATCCATGGTTTGAGTGGTTATAAAGCAACTTCATAAGTTCTTCTGTAATCTAGCAGCAGCAAGAAGAAGACAACGACAAAGACAATGAAGAAGATGATGAAGAAGAGAAGAAGAAGAGATTGGATTTATACCCCGCCCTTCACTACCCAAAGGTGTCTCAGAGCGGCTTACAAACTCCTTTCCCTGCCCCTCCCCACAACAGACACCCTGTGAGGTAGGTGGGGCTGAGAGAACTCTTGACAGAAACTGCTCTTTTTCAAGAAAAGCTCTTGTCAGAACTACAGCTTGCCCAAGGTCATCCAGCAGCTGCAAGTGGAGGAGTGGGGAACCAAACCCAGTTCTCCCAGATTAGAGTCCGCACACTCTGTGGATTTATACCCCGCCCTTCACTCAGAGTGTCTTACAATCTCCTTCCCTTTCGCTCCCCACAACAGACATCCTGTGAGGTAGGTGGGGCTTAGAGAGCTCTTTCGGGGACTGCTCTTGAAAGAACAGCTCTGAGAGAACTTGTGACTGACCCAAGGTCACACCAGCAGCTGCATGTGGAGGAGTGGGGAATCAAACCCAGTTCTCCCAGATTAGAGTTCACGCTCTTAATCACTACACCAAACTGGCTCTCCCAAGGGGTTAGGAGCTGTCCTTCCCTAGAAACTAGAAATGTCAGGGGACAGCCTGTTACCCCAGGCACTTTGGGGGCAGAGCAAGGGGTGTTTGTCGCACAACATGTTGATATCACATGGAAAACTCGAATGTGACACTGACACGCTGTCCAGCATCATTTCCACCTGCCATTTTTCTCCTACCAGCCCAGAAGGAAGGAGGGGCCCAGCAGCAGAAGACTGCCTGCTCAAAGCCAGAGAACGGTATGCCTGCTAGAAACACAGGGAATCAATCAAGCTTCCTGAACTTGCCTGCCACCCTGAGAGAAGGCACACGTCATCCTTGCCGAACCATCTACCTAGGGAAAAGGTGAAGCATTCCTATGGAATGAAGACCCTGCCATGGAGTTACCTGCAACAGGTTGTGACAAGGAGCCACTCGGGTGAGCTAGAGGAAGAGGCAAGCCCTTAAGAGACAATAACGACATACCCCTGTAGCATGGTGGTACATCAAGCCATGGCTCTGGCTGGTGCGGAAGCTGAAGCCGGTGTAGAAGTCTTGTAAAGAGGGGACGTTCGGCAGCGACAGGGTCAGGAAGCCGTGACCGTGGAGTTTAACTGAGCGAGCCACCTGCAAAGAGGCAGAGTCACTGCAACACCAGGGGGAAACTAAAAAGGCAGAGCTGCAGGCTAAAACAGGAACTGAATGTCAGGTAGTGTAACTGCCACCCAGCGGCCACCGCATAACACTTCAGATGCGGGAAGGACAGACAGTGCTCTCCTGACACATCACAAGCCTAAGAGTAGAAGGAACCAATATTTCGGAGGCGTTTATAGGCTACAGAATAAGATTAGAAAAATAAACCTAGGTGATTGCAGCATGTCGGTTGAGCTACACACTATGGGTGAGGTATGGAGACCCCAAGGGTCACATGCTAATCTGACTTGGAGGGAAGAAATCCCTTCCTTTACGTTTTAGTTAGCATTCCGATAAGCAACCAATGCTATTGAAGCACCAGCACGGGTAACCTTCAACATTGCATGACATATGATAGTAAGGATATTACATGCTTCTAGTGATAATTGAGGGTGTTGCCGAGAACACACTCCAAGACCGGTAACAAAAAAATAAAATAAAAAAATCACCACTAGTTACATGCAATGCTATGCCAGCCTAGTGGATTGTGAAACTACTTTCTCCCAATAACCCCAGGGTTTTGGCTTTCAAGTCTTCACCCTGTATTTTGGCTGGGAAACAAACAAACAACAGCGAGCATGGAAGGATAATAAGAAATAGGCAAGGTGGTGCCTGATCATGGTGCTTTCTCGTTTTCTCGTGGTGCCCAACGGGTGTTATAACCATTTCAGAAAAAGCTGTTTGCATGAGATCTGCATCCCTGTGGCACGAAAAGGGCATGCCCATCCAAGAGACAAAGGTCCTAACCAAGAGGTCCACTCTGAAAGGGAAACAAGGTCTCTAGAGGTGCAGCTGACTGTTGATATTCAAGAGCTGCGAAGGATTTCCTTCTCAGCCTATCAGACATCTATATTCTTTTCCATGGGATATCCTGCATGTACATCAACGGATACCAAACGCAGCTCTCCCTCAAGGCCAGCTCCAGGTTTTTTTTTTGGGGGGGGGGGGGGGCTGGGCACAGTGTGCCCTTTGCTTGCTCTCCTCTTTCTGCCCACCCACCCACCCGGACATACTCCCGAGGGCTGTCCTCCCCTGCCTGCTCACAGGCCCTCTCACCCTTCCGCTGACAGTGTGGGGTGATGTGTGCAGCTGGTGGGGCTGCCCTCAGGGTCCCCAGAAGTGCTGCCACCACTGTGCGCCACCTGCACGACCTTCCCTAGTGGCAGAGGGCAGCGTACTGAGCAGGCAGTGCTTGTGAGAGGAGGGGAGGAAGAGAGCCTGGCTGGCTGGCTAAGGAAGAACGTGGGCGAGGAAGCCAGTGGGTCCTGACAGAAGTCTCAGGCCGTGGTAGCTGCCCCATCTTAGGGTACATGCTGGTGCTGCCCCTGCTCACCCTTCATACAGTAGATCTATCCTTTTTCCTGCCACAGCCCAGCAGTAGCACAGACAAGCTCAGTGATAAAAGCACTGCAATAATTCACTGAACTTCACTGGCCAACCGCTGGGAGACAGATGGCCACACCAGATGGACCTCTGGACTGATCCAGCAAGACAACGTTCTCATGTTCGGCAAGAGGACAGAGCTCGCGCATTCTGCTCACCAGGAGGTCCGAGGTACACCCATAACTCACTCCCGTGGTGTTCATACGCTTTAAATCCACGTATTTGCCATGAGCCTTCAAGCCTTTCATGCAGCCCCGGATGGATCCGCCTTTGGGGAATTTCTTCTTCAAGCTGAAAGAGAACATCTGCCGTCATGGAAGTTGGCAGAGAGGAATGGATGGGAGTCTGGCTCCTTAGCGCTTCAGTGAACTTTGGTAAGGAGGAGGAGAGGAGAGGAAGCAAAGTGACAAAATCCTCTTTTAACAGGCCACACAACTGTCATGACTCAGATGGAGAAATAACACTTCAAAAGAACTCCCCCCCACAGAACATGCACAGGAAACCATGTATTGGCATCTTAGCACACTGTGAGGCTGAGAAACATGCAAGAAATCTTGACATCTGGGAATATTAGCAAGTGCACAGGGGTGGGGGGTGGGGTGGGGATACTATAAATCCGGTTTCAGGAGACAACTGGAAAAGAAGTCTTACCTCTCGGGCAAAATGGACACAGGTACACCACCCAGGTAATAGGAAGTGGCATTTTGTAAAGTGTTTTCGTGCTCCAGCGTGAAGATGGTGGATTGCTCCAGACGCACCAGAATCAGATCCTTGTTGGCACGTTTGAAGAGGAAAATATGGATCTGGAATCGGATAAGAGGGGGGAAGCAAAACCCTTTTCATCCTCAAAGGAGAGGTTAGGTGATGGTGGCCATTGAGATGCAAACAATATTGTCCTCAATACAGGCCCTCCTCCCAAGCCTAGCGGATGGGCAAAATACTAGCCTATCAGCTTGCCAATGGCATCATCCCCAAGAGGTCCTCCATCACATTTTCAGAAACGCATCCAGAACATGATCCTTGAGGAGGTACGAAAGCCCCATCGCTTCCTCGCAGCCTGATATCTGAAAGGCCCTTCGGTCATCTCAGAAGGCTGACGTGGGCTCCCTTTCCCAGATGTGCTCCCGCCCATGAAGGGAATACAACTCCCACGTCTGTGCCGCGTGGCACGTCACGGATCAAAGTAACCCAGCCCCTTCCGTGGTTATTTACCCCTTTGTTTGTGTTGCTGCTGATGGCCAGAGTTTCAGGGTCCTTGAAGGGTGGTGCCATCTGAACTTCTCCGGTGAAGTCATAGTAGAGCACCAGCTTTCCGTCCTGAACGGCCAAGCACAGCATCTGGCCCTGGGGAAGAAAAGTAAAAAGAACTAAGGGCCCTTTTCAGCTCATTGATCCTGGGTACTGACATCCCTGCGTGCAAGGCTACCCATCTGCCCCGGGCCTTGTAAGGGAAGAAAGAGAGAAACAAACAAGGAAAGCGGTACAAAAGACACGGCGGCGTCTTTTTTTTTTTTTTTTGCAGTCCTTGGAGCAAAATCAAACAAACACAAACGTTACCATCTGCTTGTGGTGCATTATCTGGGAGAGAGAAGCCTCGCCATCCTGACAACAAACACAACTCTACTAGACTCTCAGCCAAATGACCCCTTATGGCACGGCAAGAACCTACAATCAACTCTGCTGGATCAGGCTAAGGGCACATCTGGCCCAGTGTCTGGTTTCCAACACTGACTGGCCAGGTGCCTCCAGGAAATTCAAAGTCAGGTTATTAAGAGCCAAAAGCCCTCTTGCTTGCCCCCCCCCCCCCCCCCCCCCCTCCACCCAACACACACACCTTTTATCT